CGCGCCGGGGTGAAGCAGCGGCTCGGCGAGGACGGCATGAGGAGCAGCATCTCTGCCCACAGCGAGCCCGGCACGGGGAAGGCGGCGCGAGGCCGCTGGCACACGGTGCAGAGCCACTTGGCCGCAGGGAAGCTCAGCCTGTCCAAGTGAGTGAGCACGCACGGTCCGGCACGGCACCCTGGCACGGACCCCCGCCACCGCCAGCGTGCCCAGGTGCCCGCTCCCCTCTGCGAGCTGCGCTTGGACGGGGGCCACCAAGAGATCCCCCGGCCCACCGCGCCAAGGGAGATGGTGGCTGCCCAGGCCCCTGGCAGCGTTTCGGCAGCCTTTTGGCTCGGGAGGAGCGGAGGAGGGGGCTGCGGGGCTCAAGCCCCAGCCGGGCAGGAGGAGCGCCTTTGGGTGCTGTCCCTGGCACGTTTCCAGTGCCAAGAGCGGCTTTGCCCGATGCCGGTGGGAAGCAGCTTGGCGTCCCCGGTGAGGCTCCCCGGGGCAGGGGGCACCATCTTGATGATGGCCCAAAGGCAGGAGCTGCTCTCCTATGTCCCCGTCCCTGGGATGTGGCCATCAGGGATGGTGCGTGGCATCGCCAGCCTCTTCCCTCCGCGGCGCTCCCCTGACCCACGGCAGAGCCACGAGACCCGGCGTCGGCACCTTGCTTGCGGCTCCACCACCCGATACCGGGGGAGAGTTGGGGAAAGTCGGTGGTTTATCAGATTTAGGGGAAAACCCGAGCTTTGGCACACTCTGCAGGGCTCGTGGCCCAGGCAAGCTGGGTGGGGGTCTCAGCGAGACCCTCTGCTGCTGGCAGCGACTGTAGCTCTGCTGGGGGAGGTGGCGGTGATTTATCTGGCTGCGGGCTCCATCCTATGTTTCTGATCACTGCTCCGGTTCCCTGTGCTGGGGTGCAGCAGCCTCCGATTGCGCGGCGGCCCAAGCGCCGTGCTGCCAGCTGAGCAGCCGGCGGGTGCCGGCAGCGGCCCCGGCAGCCTCGGAGGGGTCGGCGGTGAGAGCAAAGGCGCTTCCCAGGGCTGGCGTGCCTCAGCAAAGGCGTTCCCAGGGTTGGCGTGCCTCGTCCCCGCTGCTTCTTCCAGCCTTGTCGGGGGCGAGAAAACTTTTTCAAAAGATAAATGCCAGCCCTGCCGCTTTGGACAAATCCCAAATGCCTCCTGGAGCCCCAAAGATTGGTGTCCCCCTCGTTTGGAGCCGTGGCCGCCCATTTGGCATGATGCTGGTGTGCTCCGGCTCGGCTGCTGGGAGGCGAGAGGGAGAGGGGAGGAAGAGGGGGAGCTGCGCAGCCTTCAGCCATACCCAGTCTTGGCGAAGAAGCGAAACCCGCTGGGAGCCCGCGCTCCTCTGGCGGGATGTGCGAAGGCCGGCGAAGAAAAGGC